CACACAGGAGAGAAACCATATGAATGTCAAGATTGTAGGAAAACTTTCTTCCAGAAATCAGCTCTCACTGTACATCAGAGAACTCACACAGGAGACAAAGCCTGTATTTGTAAGCAATGTGGGAAGATTTTCTACCAGAAGTCAGTCCTCACTAAACATCAGAGAATTCACACAGGAGAGAAACCCTATGAGTGTAAACAATGTGGGAAAGCTTTCTCTCAGAAGTCAGCTCTGACTGTACATCTGAGAATTCACTCAGGAGAAAAACCCTATGAATGTCAAGAGTGTAGAAAAACGTTCTACCAGAAGTCAGCCCTCACTAAACATCACAGAATTCACACAGGAGAGAAGCCTTATGGATGTCAACAATGTGGGAAAGCTTTCTCTCAGAAGTCCGCTCTGACTGTACATCAGAGAAGTCACACAGGAGAGAAACCCTATGAATGTCAAGAGTGTACAAAAACTTTCTCTCAAAAATCAGCTCTCACTGTACATCAGCAAACTCACAGAGGAGAATGACCCTCTGAATGTAAAAGTATTGGAGAACTTTCTCTGAGGAATCAGCTCTAATTGTCTTTCATAGTACTTACACAGGAGAGGAATCTGGTGAATGTAAAGATTATAGGAAAAGTTTCTACCGAAAGCCCATCCAAAATTGTCAAGAGTTCACACAGAAGTGTTATAGACAGATCTACTTCCTAGATTTGTCCTGGGAGCCATAGTATGAACTGGCAACGTGATTTAAGACAAAGGATTGACTTGAGAAAGCAGAATTTTCCAGAGTACTACAAACACCATTTGTATTTCCCTTGGCTAAGAAATACTCACTATAAACTTTAAGTGTATGATCTGTATACAACATTATCAGTCTACTGTAGCCAGTTTGCAGTTTAAGTTTGTCTCTGTAAAACTTACCAATCCTTACATACAAAATTTACATAAGCCATTTTGTCATCTTTCATCCTCAGGTAACTTGATGGAAAAATAAAAAATAATTTGAGTAAAGAATCCATTGAATGTAGAAACGTGTGTCATCCAGGGTCAGCTCAGTGAATACTGACAAAATATTTAAATGTGTTCAGAAAAATATAGAATGAAAGTTACCCTTTGTTTATATCAGGAAAATATTGCACAATGTCCTTTTGGAAGTAAAATCACCACTACTAGAAAATCACTGGGTTATGGTTAAGATTTTCCAAAATTTGGAACACAACCTGTAGTATTCCTAGCAATGACTGGACCTATATACTCTCAACGTAGTACAGTGGCCTGAAAAGTTAACATCTATGAAGCCACCTTTGACTTGGAGCCAGGCAGAAAAATACAGTGGTATTACCTGTCTCATTCAAGCTTGTCTATAGATCATTGAACTGGGCCATAGCACTTTGAAGTGAGTACAGCCAGATGCACTTGTATTAAGAAGCCATCAAGAAAACAAGAGTTTTAAAAATCATGAGACCTGAATGTCATGGGCTTTTAGCTAGAGGAATGAAGCTAGAGGAACTAACTAGTTCTATCTTCATCCTTTCTAAAGAATAAATAACCAATTATGTAGAGTTAAACCTAGTTTCAGATTGTTAACACTTTCACCATTTTCCTCATCCTCTTTTCCTTCAATAAAAGCTCTTAATTTTATCCTTTGTGCACAGTTTGGCTTTCTGTTGAATCAACCTGAATAGAAGTCAGTTAACTTTTAGTGGTCTTCTGAGTTTCCAGGCAAACATGTAAGATACCAACAGATAGTCCATTTCAAGGCAGAGGGGTTAGGAGGTACTTGTACTGGTCCTTAGGAAATCTAACAATGTACCTTACTGGTTCCTTGATTAGGGTGCAGTGGTTCTTGGAATTATTTCCAAGGTGCTTGATTGTACTCTGTCTTACCCTTTAAGACATTTTGATTTTCTAAGGAGCCATACTTGATCTTTGAAAAACGTGGGTTTAATCCGTGGTGGTTTATATGCTAATGCTTTTCATTAAATGTATTTACAATTTTTTGCAAGTTTGTATGCTAGCAATATGAGAAGTGTTTTTAAGGAAAAAATAGGCATGTTCTGAAGTCATAAAATATACACAGCTAATACTATCATGAAATGGGCACAAATCTGTTATAAAAGATTAAAATTTACAAAAATTTATGAACACAGATGGGCCATTCAGTTGAGAAAAATGTAGATAAATTGTATACAATTAGTGCATACTCTTACATGTTTTTACTGTAATTCTGAGCTCCTCTTGCTATTGAAACAATATCAAATGCTTCTGGTATCTGTTTAATATGCTGGGTGATGCAAAGCATTTCCATGTGAACGGCTTGTTCAGTATATTGCATATTACAATAAAAAGTGTTCTCACTAATCTTGTATATATTTTTTTTGTTTTGTGCAGTGCTGTAAACCTCAGGTAGCACCATGAGTTGTATACACAGTGGTATAAGTGGTGCTGGAAGTCTTCTCCACACAGAAAATTGTAGCATTAAGAAAAAGTTGAATTGTCAGGCCTTCCTGGTGGCGTAGGGGTTAAGTCTCAGTGCTATTACCACTATGGCTTGAGTTCAGTCCCTAGCCAGGGAGCTAACCTACATATGGC